CGGAGAAACATTGATGCGAGTGACACATCAACTGGTTGCTTCCCGCAGGCACCCCAACTGGGGCTGGGGATTGAACTGCAACCAAGGTATGTGCCCTTCACCGGGAATCAAACCTGTGACCCTTCAGTCCGAGGCTCTAACTACTAAGAAAAACTGGCCAGAGCCATTATTATTAATATTATTTTTAGAGGAAATAAGCTCAGTGAGCCAGAGTAATTTTTTGTAAGATGTTTTGTTTTTAGAGAGGAAGGGTGAGGGATAGAAACATCAGTGAGAGACCATCATCGATTGGCTGCCTCCTGCATGCCCCCCACTTGGGATCAAGCCTACAACCCCGGGCATGTGCCCTGACTGGGAATCAGACTGTGACCTCCTGGTTCATGGGTCGACGTTCAATCACTGAGCCACTCCAACCAGGGAAAAACCCTCTTGATGAGTGTCTTTCATAGCTTTACCATAATTAAAGGAATCAAGGTCTGAAGGAGCTAATTCTTTCTGAATGGCTTCTTAAATTGTTCGTCAAAGGTCGCTTATGGCACCTGATTACTTTTCAAAGGTACACTTTACTCTTACAATTGTAAATACTGCCTCTTTCAAATATTCAACAGATATTATCTACTTACTATGTGCCAGGGAGTGAACTATGAAAATGGGGAGGGGGAAGAGTTTCTGCTCTCCAACAGTTTACAGTCTAGGAAGGATACCAGATAAAATGAACATATTTCATAAAATCTAAGACACTTGATTTTAAGATGCACTCTGATCTGTAACATGTCAAAGCCTTAGAATCAATTAAATACAAGACTTCAATGTGATAAACACTGTAATAGTTATAGGAATAAGGCATGTACTGTTGAAGCATGTATAATTACCCCTGCCTAGAAATTTTGAGGATCGGTTAATAGACGGCATATAGTTGAAGTTCTTTACATGTAGTAATTCATTTAATTCTTACCTAAGATAGGTATGAACTACTGTCATCATTTGGAAAATGAGAAAACAGGTGAGAAAGAAGTCATTTGTCCAAGGTTATGCATCTAGGACGTGATGCATATAATAACCCTGAGCAATCTAGCTCAAGCCCAGAGTCAACCACAATGTGTTTGTATAAATGAATTCATGGGGTAGACAAGGGAAAGGCTTTCCAAGCAGAGGGAACAGCCTACACAAAAGCAAGAAAACACAAAAAGACATACTATAGGAAGTGAGGGTGGCTGGATCATAAGGAATGTGAGCAGAGTGATGAGGCTGGAGAGGTAGATGGGGATCAGAATGTAAAGGGCTTTGTGTAATCTTTGATAAGCAGTTTTCAAAAAGAAGTTTTCTCCAAAGCAAGGTCCTTTCCACAAAATGGAATTTTAAATGCAGTGCCAATATATAAAACAGGCAAAAGTGGAGCTACTAATTAGTGGCAAGGGCACTTCATTTTGGCTTCTTCCTGGGTTTCATGGGACAGTTTGAAGATCACCAAAGAGCCGTAAGAATATGAGCTTGTGCAAGTTTGTCTTAATGGAAACAAACTTACACAAATCCTGGCTCTACCACTTTCTCACTGGGGGAAACTTTGGACGATTACTTAATCCATATGGCTCTGCTCCCTCACATGTAATATACCTCATAGGGCTTTTGCAAGGAATGAACCAGTTAATGTTTGTAAAGCACGTGCAATGGTGCCTGGCCCATAGATATGTACTCATAAAAGTGGCAGTATGGTGGATGGATTGAAAAAGCCAGGAAGACAACTTAGACTTTATGAGAGAGATGATGTGAGATATGTAGGATAAAATGGTAGGACTTGGTGACTGGCTACAGTGGGTGGGGTGAGAAATTTGCTGAGAATGTTAACTGGAAATTGGTAGGTTGCTAATGCTGAAACATGGAATATATTTACTATCTGCAAGTTTCCCATCAACGGCCATTACGTGTACTCCCAGGAACCCACAATTGGGAGTTACACATGAATTTAAAAGGTAAATAGCAATACAACAGCAGATGCTGTCTGTTGTGTCAGAAGGAAAGGCATAGAGATCTGAGTTGGTCAGGCTTCAGCAGCACTGTCCAACACAATCTCATGCAAGACGCAGTTGCCATTTAAAATTTCTAGTGACACTTAAAAAAATAGGTGAAATATTTTATGTAACCCAGCATATAAAAACATAATTTCTTCATGTAGCCAAGTCTTAGAAATCTTACACTTATAGACATCTCAATTTGGATGAGCCATATTTCAAGTACTCACTAGCCCCATGTGGCTAGTGACTTCCATACAGGATAGTCCAAGATACAGGAAAATGTTCATATTGAAAGAGTAATGGAGGTTCTAGTTAGAGGCAGGGGTAAAACTGGAGGGCGTCTAGATTAAAGGAAGTGGGAAGCCTTTGAAAGATTGATAGAGCAGTTTTTAGAAAGGTAATCTATTGGCGCTACATCAGATTAAGACTGGAGATTGTCTTTAATGCCAGTCATTGTAGCAATATATCTTTCACCAAGTTTCTTCCTGTCAGAGCACTGATGGTACGGACTGCCTTCTCAAGCATGTACTTTTGTGCCTTGTCAAAATAACAGGTTTGCTAGTGGAATTTGGGAAATCGGGGTAGAGGTATGCAAATACTTCTCTTCAGATAACATGAGAGTAAGGCCCCATTTCTGTGTTGTGTCAAAGCATGACTAAGCACTAAAAAAGGCCATTTGATAATGTTTATGTAAATTGAGATTCAGCCAGAGTATCAACCATTGCAGATTGATGTGCCACAGGTATTATAAAGGACTAGAGGCCTGGTGCACAAAAATTTGTGCACTCGTGGAGGGGAGGGGGGTCCCTCAGTCCGGCCTGTGCCCTCTCGCAGTCTGGGACCCCTCTGGAGATAACGACCTGCTGGCTTAGGCCTGCTCCCTGGTGGCAGAGGGCAGGCCCAATCCCTAGGTGCAGCCCCTGGTCAGGATCAGAGCAGAGCTGATTGGGGAGTTGGGGCACCGACCCCTGTCATGCACAGAGCAGGGCGGATCGGGAGGTTGCGATGCCACCCTCAGTCATGCTCAGGGTAGGGCCGATTGGGGGGGTGGGC